CTTGAGCCACAGGCGCCGAGCCATTTTGACTTTTTGTGACAGTCTCACTTTGTTGCCCCAGGCTAGAGTGTCATGGCATCATAGCTCCCAGCGACCTCAAACTCCTGGGTTCAGGAAATCCTTGTGTCTCAGCAACTACAGACACCCACCACAAGCTAATTTTTCTATTTTTGGTAGAAATGGGGTCTCACTCTTGCTCAGGCTGGTCTTGAACTCCTGAACTCAAGCAATCATTCTTCCTCAGACTCTCAGAGTGCTAGGATTAAAGATGTGATGAGCCACTTCACCCAGATCATTGTAACCATTTTTTCTTTTTTTTGGAGATACAGTCTTAATCTGTCACCCTGGGTAGAGTGCTGTGTCGTCACAGCTCACTGCAACCTCAAATTCTTGGGCTAAGTGATTCTCTTGCCTTAGCCTCCGGAGAAGCTGGGACTATAGGCGTCCTCCACAGTGCCCAGCTATTTTTTGTTGTTGCTGCTGTTGTAGTTGTCATTATTGTTTGACAGGCTCCAGCCGGGTTCAAACCTCCAGCCCCAGTGTATGTGTCTGCCGCCCTAGCCACTGAGCTATAGGTGCTGAGCCCATTGCAACCATTTTTAAGTGCACAGTTCTGTGCTGTCAAGAACATTCACATCATCATGCAACATCTTCCCATGCTCCCTCCCTCCAGCCCCTGGCAACCTCCATTCTACTTTCTATATCTATAACTCTGGGTACCTCATATAAATGGAATCATACAGTATTTGTCATTTTGTGTCTGGTTTATTTCACTTAGCAAAATGTCTTCAATGTTTATCCATGTCAGTAGAAAACATGGCTACTTGTGTGGCTGAATCCTAGCCACAGTATGGATGGATCTCACTTTGTCTATCTGTTCATCAGTCAGTGGACACATGCATTGCTTTTGCTTTTTGGCTGCTGTGAATAAAAGCAACAAAAATGTATCCTCCTCTAGTTCTGGAGGCTAGATGTCTGATATGGAATTGTCAGCAGGGCCACACTGAAAGAGTTTCGTCACCTCCCTGGCTTCTGGGGGTTGCTGGCAATGCTTGTTGTTTCTTGGTTTATAGACCCATCACTCCATTTTCTGCTGTCTTCACATGGCATTCCCTTTGTGTGTGCCTGTGCCTCAGGGTCCAAATTTCCATTTTCACCTGATTGTATCTGCAAAGCACCTATTTCCAAATAAGGCCACATTCACAAGTCCTAGGAGTTAGAACTATAACACACATTTATGGGAGATAAATTTCACCCCACAAAAAGTGATTCAAATTCATTGTAGAAAAAATAGAAAATTTAGAATATTTATTAGAGAATAAGTTAGATACGATATAAATATATGTGTATGTCTCAAAGCCCCTAGATAACCACTGTGAAGCTATTAATTTATAATCTTCCAAACTTTGCCCTATGTAGACTGTGGTAGTCACCCTCCACAATGATTCCTGCCTCTTCACATTCTTGTATTCACATTCTTGTGAAGTCCTCTCTCTCATTATACCAGGGTGGGTCTCAGGGTGGGACCAAGAGAGTACAGAAGTGACAGTATGTTACATCCAAGATTAGGTTATAAAGGCATTGCAGCTAATATGTTAAGTCATCTCTCTCTCTCTCTCTCTCTTTTCTCCCCACCCTCTCTGCCAGCTGTCATGTCCTGAGTCCTGAGTGACCTTACGGATCAAGCTGTCTGGCCAGTCCTACAAGAGACCCCGGGGAGCCCAACCATTTCAGATCCTTCCACCCAAACAATAGGATCTCAATACCTGAATCCTGGAATCAGAGACCTTTATACTTCAAACATGGGATCACAAGGACACCCAGCTAAGCTGCCCCCAAAGTCCTAACCTGCAGAACCCGGGTAAGATGATAACTGTTTATTTTTCTGTTCTGAGACAGTCTTACTCTGTCAGCCTAGGTAGAGTGCCATAGTGTCATACCTCACAGCAATCTCAAACTCCTGGGTTCAAGCAATTCTCCTGTCTCAACCTCTGTAGTAACTAAGAAGACTACAGGTGCCCACCACACACCTGGCTAGTTTTTTTCTATTTCTAGTAGAGACAGGATTCAATCTTGGTCTCAAAAAATTCAAGCAATCCACCTGCCTCTGCCTCCCAGAGTGCTAGGATTACAGGTGAGACATGGCACCCAGCCAATGTTTTTGTTTTAAGCTGCTAAGGTTTTGTTTTTCTTGTGGGGTGTGTGATTTGTTACACAGCAATAGCTAGCTAATACGTACACATAAACAACGATTTGATTTTTCATGCACTCAAAAAAGGGATCAGACCTTGATAACTATTTTGTATTTTTACTTTCTCTAAATTATATCCTTGTAGTATAACCTCTCACAGACGGCTTTTCTCTTTTTCTCTTTCTCATTTTCTTTTGGGTTGGGGGGGTTGTGTTTTTTGGGTTTTTTTTTTTTTTTTGAAACAGAGTCTAGTCTCACTCTATCATGCAGGCTACAGTGGCCAAGGCTTCAGCCTAGTCACAGCATTTTCAACGTTCTGGGTTCAAGTGATCCTCTTGCCTCAGCTTCCCAAGGAGCTAGAACTATAGACACCCACCACAATGCCCAGCTAATATTTCTATTTTTAGTAGAGATGGGGTCTCACATCTCACTCTTGCTCAGGTTGGTCTCAAACTTCTGAGCTCAAACATTCTTCCACCTTAGCCTCCTAAAAGTGCTAGGGTTACAGATGTGAGCCGCCACACTGGGCTTGCTTCTCTCTTTCTAAGCCTAAGTTTCCCTACTTACAGTATCAGGGATATTGCAAATGATATCCTTAAGGCACAAAGAATTTATATTTAGTGAGCAAGTAATATGTACCCTTGCCCTGTGACAAGCCTTTTAACATATTCTCTCATTTGTTTATTCATCCTTATTTATTGAACACTTAGCTATGTTCTATGTTCTAGACCCAATTCTGGACATGGGATACAGAAGTGAATGAAACACACAAAAATCTCTGCCCTCATAAACTTTACATTCTAGTAGGGAGAAAGCAACAATAAATAACATGAGGCACCCGCCACAACGCCTGGCTATTTTTTGTTGCAATTTGGCCAGGGCAGGGTTTGAACCCACCACCCTCGGTATGTGGGGCCAACGCCCTACTCCCTGAGCCACAGGCACCGCCCTTAAACATTAATTTTCAATTCAACTTGTTAATATGTTGCTTTGGATATTGCATCCTCATTTATAAGTGAAATATGTTTGTAATTTTCCCCTTATAATAATATATTTTCTCCAATTTTAATATCAGGTGTATCCAGATTAAGTAGAATGATTTTGAAGTATTTCTTCTTTTTCTATTGTCTATAAGATTTGGCATGATCTGTTTTTTGAAATTATCTCTTACTTTTATTTGTGAATGTTGGTTGTCTATTTTTTTGAGACTTTGGAAAAAAAATAAGTTAACTGATGACTCCATACTGAACCTCAGAGTCAGAGCATTCTATAGTAGACATGCTCTTATTGGACAATGCAAATGTTACTTTCTTTGCATCATCATTATTATTATTATTGCTTAATATTTTGATGCAGCAATTATCAGATTTCTTTTTTAAATGTATTTATCTTTGTTCTTCATGAAGTTTTTGTTTCTAGTCCTTATCTTATTGTTATTGTTATTAAATTCTAAGTCTTTTTAATTTTGTGAAGGCAAAAAGTGAAAACCTAATAAACACGTGTATATGTAAAAAAAAAAGAATGCACTTCTCTCAGAAAAAAAACAAACCAGAAGAGTGTGGACGGCACCTATGGCTCAGTGGGTAGGGTTCTGGCCCCATATACTGAGGATAGTGTGTTCAAACCCAGCCCTGGTCAAACTGCTGTGGTGGACACCTGTAGTCCCAGCTACTCGGGAGACCGAGGCAGGAGAATTGCCTAAGCCCAAGAGTTGGAGGTTGCTGGGAGCTGCAGGGCAGTTGCACAGCACTCTACTAAGGGCGATAAAGTGAGACTCTGTCTCTAAAACAAACAAACAAACAAGAAAAAAAAAAACAAAAAGAGCTCTGATCTCTCTTATAAGAGCTCTGATCTCTCTTATAAGAGCACTAATCCTATCATGGGGCCCCCACCCTTGCAACCTCAGCAACCCTAATTGCCTCCTGAATGCCCCATGTCCAAATTCCATCCTATTGAGGAACAGGGCTTCAACATAAAATTGTTGGTGAAATACAATTCAGTCCACCACAAGAACATCATATTCACCAGTTTGGGGGATCAGGATATTGACCTTTGTGTGTGGGGGTAAGGATCATCACTCTGCTTGCCATGCTCAGCAAGGTCACAGGGCTTCTATGACCTCACTGTCCCCTAGGCACCCCACCCACTAGACACTCCTGCTGGATAGGCAGACAACTCCTCAGGGATTTGAACCTAGGTGTCCACACTTCTAGCCAACATGGGAGCTCCTCCCAAGGAGACTCAGAAGCCTTATTCAAGGGTCCAGACCTTTTTTAAGAGGGTCAAGACCTTTCTAACCAATGCCCCACCTCCACCCCTCCCTGAACCCCTGTCCTCCTCCTGGAACCCAGGCTGTACTCATGTGTATGGGTATGTGTTTGGGCATGTTCGAGAAAACAACCTTGAGCATCTCCCATCGCAGCAGGTGAGCAGCTCTAGAATTATGCCTTGAAGCAGAGGGTCAGGGAAGGAAGGGACAGGGAGGATCTTTCACCAGACTCCTTGTCCCAGAGGCACAAGGAGGCCTCACCTGGCTGAGTGTGGATGAGGGCTGGGTCTGCCCTGCAGGTCTTGGACACAGGAGAGCAGTTGATGGTTCCTGTGGAGGTCTTGGAAGTGGACAACGAGGGGACCCTGTGGAAATTTCTGCTCTCAGGAGCCATGGCAGGGGCCGTGTCTCGCACAGGCACGGCCCCTCTAGACCGAGCCAAGGTGTACATGCAGGTGTGAGTGGTTGTGGGGGCAACACAGCACTGGAGCCCTTGGTGACAGCACAGGGTGGGATGGGTGGAGGTGATGCTGATGGGGTTCAGGATGAGGACAGAGGTTGAGTCAGGGCTTTCGTGATCTGGTTGAGATTGGGGTTGTGGGCCACCATAGGGCATGGACTTGAGCTGGGGAGGGAGTTGAGGGGATTTACTAGAGACGGGGCTCAACACTGGGTCAGGACTGGGGGTAGAGATCAGGTAATTGGGAAGTAGGGAGGTATCTTTGGATGGGTTTGAAAGCAGAATAGGACTTGAGAGAAGATGGAGAGGTGGGATGAGGCCAGAAGTGGGTCAATGCTGGCTTTGGATCTGGGTTGGTTTTAGACACTTATACGACAGGCGTACGAGGCCTTGGAACAGGAGCACAGGAAGGACATGGGGCTGGGGCTGAGTGGTCAGGGAGGCTGGGGTGGGGATGGAAATGGGTGGGGGGCTCTTCATGGGGCTTCTCCAGGGTCCTCCCTTTCCATCAGGTCTACTCCTCCAAGACTAACTTCATGAACCTGCTGGGGGGGCTCCGGAGCATGGTCCAGGAGGGCGGCTTCCGCTCCCTGTGGCGAGGCAACGGCATCAATGTGCTCAAGATTGCCCCTGAGTATGCCATCAAGTTCTCCGTATTTGAACAGGTGTGGAACAGATAGAATGTTGGCCCCATCCCCTCCTGTACCACTAAAAGTCCTCATCTGAGACACACGTTGGCCCTCCAGACCCCTCCCACTGCACCAGTTTCCAGTCAGAAGGTGGCTGTCTTCTCACACCTCTCTCTCCTGTCCCAGTGTAAGAATTACTTCTGTGGAGTACACGGGTCCCCACCCTTTCAGGAACGTCTCCTTGCTGGCTCCCTGGCAGCAGCCACCTCCCAGACACTCATCAACCCCATGGAGGTAAGAGAAGATCTGTCCTGAAGAAAGGAAACACCATGGAAATTTATTTATTTATTT